AGTGTAGCCCACACTGATTAACCACCACCACCAAGTTGTTAATTGTTCTCTTGTCTTGTGAACAAAAACTCTCTTCCTGATTTTAAGTCAAAATAAGATTAATGTTTAATTTACATCTAGTTTTGTTAAAGAAAACATTCTTCCCAGTAGAATAGTCAAATTACAATGTTGATTAATTTTATTCTCAGTTTAACCAGCATGCTGGTAACCCCGTGAAAATACGGTATTAAAAAACCTGTATATGGATAAAAAGTACAGTTGATAAGATTTAAAAGATTAAATAACACGTATCATTTATGATTGTTATTTTATTTATTTGCTTTATGAATAGAATATCACATATTAACACACAATGCTAGGGTCAGACTGCAGAAATTTGTCATGGAATGTACAGTACTTCCTTAATTTTTTTCCCTTACTGATGTATTCTTTTAATCAGAACTTGATAGGAAATGAGATTTATTACTGTTAAATTTTAAACATGATTAAAAAATAAAGTTTACGATAATTAGATATCGATCATCTTATTATAAATTACAACAAAAATGAATAGAATGTCATAATTCTTTGTAAATAGTGTTAGCTGAATTTATTACACATAAATAGAAGTAAAAAGTCTTAAATTAAATTAAAAACTTTTTGAATAAAACAAATGCAGCACAATGAGCTTTTTCTGGCAATGTAATCAAAGTAAGAAACTTGTTCATAGAACATACTTTGTGAAAAATAAATAATGCAGACAAGATATTTATCAATTTCATGCCTGCTTTTGTTCAAACATTTCATGTCATTCAGTTAGTTAATCAGTGAGAAAAATGTAACTTTGATATCTAAAATAATAAAACTATATTGGACTGACTGACTCACTAACATGAAATGGCACAATTGAAAGATGATGTCAAGTTCATTACCACAAAAGGTCTAAAATATTTTACTTTTTTGTGATTTTGGAATTACGACATGTCAAGGTTTGATCTTGGATGCTATCATATCCATGCAGTTAACTAATTTAGACACAACCCACCTGTTTTAAAAATACATTCAACTCACCTTAAAATGAATAAAGCAATAACAATAACGCAAATAAAGCAAATTTTGCTGTTGTCCTGGAAAAATGCCATTGTCACACTGTTAATTTTCACACAAACAAATAGAGCAAACAAAAATTTTACCAAAATTTGTTAAACCAAACTAAATTCTCCTTCACAACTTTCAAGAAATTATCCTTTTTCCAATAATGATTGCTTTTTACACTTTTCAATGCAAACAATATAAAAGTGGAAGTCTAATACAAGTCTAATACAGTAGAGCATCAATTATCCGACCCCGATTAACCGTCACATCGGTTAACCAACCATTCTAGTCGGCAAATTTGAAATGTCCGCTAGTGATGTGGCATTACAATATTTGGCTATATCTTGGCTACTTTAATATTATTTTTGTTAAATATTTGCATGTTTTAGCTGGCATCAACGGCTCGACCATTGAAAGGAGGCCAATATTTAAACAAGGCTTAATTTTCTAATTATGAGTGGTTGTTTGTTTCGTGAGCAATAAAATAATTTAAAAATAATTTTTAACGATACAATAGCGACAATTATTATTTAAGAAAAAAATTGTTAGGCTAAACATCGATGAAAATTCAATGCGAAGTTGGTTAATAGCGTTATACTAATAAACTAATTACATGGGATATACTAATATCCTATACTAATAATGTATTTTTTTCCTTCTTTTTGGTTATCCGATTTTTCAGTTATCTGACCAACCTGAGTCCCCAATTGAGTCAGATAATCGATGCTCTACTGTAATCTATTTACTCAAACTGGAACATTTATCTTCTCTTAGTAAGCAAAGATGAGTTTAATCTCTGATTTATAGAACACTTCAAACATCTGGTTTTAGCTGACCATTCTACTGTATTCAGAAAACAGATTAAAGTTTAAGGACATCCATTCCTTTAAATTAATGCAGTCCCATGCAAACACATGCTAGTTTGCTTATCAGGCAATGCAGAAATGCCAGATTGGGCTCCTTTTTTACTCTTTTGCCATCAAAAATATTTTCTACTTTTTCAATCTTCAACAGAAAAAAAAATCATGGATTTCTTTTAGCTTTGTTTTATTTAATAACACTGATACACTGCTTCATACTTAAATGGCAAATACTGTCTCTTCCTCATTTTGTTTGATTTGTTAATCTGTTTTTGTAAATAAATTTAATTTTATTTAACTTTATAATATATTGAATTAATTTACTAAATAGAGATTTTGATTTCCTATTAAACCTTAACCCTTTTATCAAAAATTTGTATTAATGATTTTCATAGTTAAATGAACTAATTACTGTTCCCCTAGCAATTTGTATTAACACAAGTTGATTGTATTAGAATAATCAAAAGAAAATGTTGTTATTAATCTGCTGTGCATTATTTTAAATAATAATAAACTGTAGTACAGAAATGGAAAGCATTTGATTGGAACTGCTAAAGATGGCCAATAGCAGATTCCCTAGTGTAAGCATAGGATTGACCTTAGTGTAGATAGCATAAAACAAATTCAAGAAACTTTGATTTTAGAAAAACAGTTACATATTTTTGTCAACATTCATAAAACTGTTGCCAAGCTGTCTTGGAACCCATTCTTCAATAATTCTTTATTGCAGTGGTGATAATTTATTCTCAGAGTCTCTGAATTGCTGTTGTTTCAATTTGGATTTCAAGTGAGAAAATACATAAAGATCTATTGGTAACAAGTATGGCTCTTAACAAAAATTTTGATATTGATATTGGATTGATCTCGAGATTCCTTTGATATACGAATATCAATATTTTAAACATATCAGTTTACATAATCATCACAAGTCCAGTGACAAGTTGGGAGAAGCAGCAGAACGTTCCTGTGTTAATGTTAAACTAAACTAATAAGGAGCAATTGCTGAAGCATTGTAATGAAGAATAAGATTGTCTATTTTTTGACAATTTTCTGTTTATTGCATCCTTAGACCATGCAGGATATCAAGATATAATTCCTTGGAATAGCTGGGCTTTCTGGAATAAATTCCCAGTAAATATCCTGGAAATAAAAAAAAATTTCCAACGTAACTTTTCCTTTGCTCCTGTCCACACATTCTTCAATTGGGGATATATTGATTTACATTTAGTGACTGATGGTTTTGTATGGATCCTAAGGAAATATCACATCTCACTCCCATGCTTGTTTTGAAAAATTTTTCTATGTCAGTTATAGTAATTTATTTCTTGATACTGTCATTTGCATTTCTTTCTATTCTGGAGTAAGATTCTTTGAACATGTGTTGACAAATTTGATACACATTCAAATGATTGATTAGAATAATGTGACAACTTCCAACTTCTGATGCTATTTCTATTGTAAACATTCCAGATGTGTACTATGTTTTCATCAGTCTTCAAAGTTGCAGGTGCAATCTGTGGATCATTGTTAACTGTAACACACCTTTAGTGATATCACAAGCTTATGATAGGCATATGATTCTGTAATCTTTCTGAATCCAAAGAAAAAAAATTGATATTTGCATGTTACTCTGTGAGTGCCATTTGAATTCTGACAATGTTAAACATGCATCATAAAAAGAAACCACTTTTTGCTGTTGGAAAGGAAATAGCATGGTCACACCACCTGTGATATGATGTCATCCAGGGAACCCTAGGCAAAACTTATTTTTGAGGTCCATTAATGATGTAGAGAGTAGATCTGTTTAGGTCTATAATAATATGAACATGGTAAAACACAATAAATAAATTTAATAGGTGTACAGAAATTCACCTACAGAATTGCTCTCCAGCTTTTAGCAGCATTGAATTCATGAATTAGAGGAAAAGTTTACTTCTGCAGTAATATATCTTCACTTTTGATTATGTCTATTGAAAGTCTCCCAACACATTGTTGATTGATTTTAACTCTGTTACATCTGCAGAACAATCATTTTCAGATATACTAATTACTAGTAAAATTAATTTTCAATATTTTATTAGTTAAAATTATCATCAAATTTACAAGGTCCTAGACATTGTCTTTATGTAAGGCCACCTCTAGATACTGATACTTCCAAATTCTGATGATTCAAAATCCCATCACCTGTCCTATTTCACATAGCAGGTGATAAAAGGTAACTTCATAAATTTCCAGAATTATTAAAGTTTCATTTTTCATAATAAGTGTATTTTTCTAATTTTTTTTACACCTATTTAAAGCTTTGAGATGATGCAATTATCAGTTTCTCTTCATAAACATAGTTTTCATTCATAACACAGTATTATGCTAATAAGTAATAATGCTCCTGTTTGGATCATATATCCATTATTTATATCAAAAAAGTATCAAACAAAATTTGAACAATTCTGATTTAGTTTTTAAATCTTATAAAATAGCTAATTGTTTCCTAAAGTAATATTCTCTTTTCTCCTGATTGTTGGAAGGTATTTAAGAATATCTAAAGTACCTGGCTTAAATGCCAATCTTTTTTAATGCTTTATAAAGTATGGATTAAAAAATGATCATAGACATGAATGAGCTAGACATTCATGTCTATAAAAATTAACTATTTTAATACACAGTATCACTGTGAATAAACTCACTTGTATCAGATATCTTTGAATAGTTTTTAATATAAACATAATTCAAAACTCCATTCCAATAACATAAATTATAAATTTTATATTATTGAAACATAGCATTCTCATTTATCAATGTTTTTGACTGATTGTGATGATGAAAATAAAATAAGTTAAAATTCTAAGTATTGTGAAGAGATTAGAACATTTGTTTAATGTAATTTTTGAATTACTTGTAGAGCTATGTTGAATGTTGATAATTGTAAATATAATTGGTATATCAAACCAAAATTATGTTGACACAGTGCTAATTCCTTGTTTCTTGGCAAGATAAATAATTTATAAATGTTTTCATTTGAAATGAAATGACATTCATAACTTTAAAATTTACAAATTTAATTTACAGGCTATGGGATATAGAATGTGGAGCGTGTTTGAGAGTGTTAGAAGGACACGAAGAATTAGTGAGGTGCATTCGTTTTGATAATAAGCGCATTGTTAGCGGAGCATATGATGGGTAAGATTTCTCTCATTTATTGTATTTAATACGTATATTTTTAATGACATAAAATTCTTTTTTTTCCAGAAAAATAAAAGTTTGGGATCTTGCCGCAGCTCTTGATCCACGATCTCCTACGGGCACACTCTGTTTAAGAACACTAGTGGTAAATATTCTACTTTACTTTATTTTACACAAAATTATTGTAAATGCTAATACTCAAATTTCAAACAGGAACATTCTGGCCGTGTCTTCAGACTGCAGTTTGACGAATTTCAGATCGTCAGCAGTTCTCACGACGACACCATTCTCATTTGGGACTTTTTAAACTGTGCACCGCCCGACACAAAATCGCCAAATCGCACATATACTTATGTTTCAAAGTGAATGGAAGAATTCGCATCGGCCTCTTAGAATAATGGCAACCCGAGCCCAAAGTCGACGAATCTAGACAAGGCTGGAAAATTGCCTCCCTTTCTTCTTGTCCTCAGTGTCATCTAATTTCTTTTGTTAAAACTTTGGTAGGAAAAAAAAAAGACTTTAGTGCAATTTGCACCTAACTGGACCTAATGGGGTGTGAAAATGCACTTGATTCACTGTGTTAATACACATCACCAAAGTATGTACATATTTCTGATTGCTTGAAGAAGTTTTTTGTCTTGTACATCCTGTTCTTAGTAAATGGTTGATTCATCCTACAGTGTGTAGACAGTGAACTGATTCAACTTTGAAAAAATATTCTATATTTTACAGTTTTCTTTAGTGCCTTTTCACTAGTTTTGCCATAATTAACGCAAAGCAAGTGGAAATAACATCAAGGTGTACTTACCAGCATTTTTGTATAGCTTCGTGTATGAGTTGTGAATTAGGTATAAGCTAAGAAATATTTATTTTTGTCACTATCACGTTGTTCTTCAAATACTTGGGTTTTTTTGTCCTCGTTAAAGGTGTGGGTGATGAATTGTGTATTCTGTGATGTTTAAAAACATTCATTCCAATTTCTAACCAATGATGACTGTAAGAGCAATGTGGCCAGTGACAACACAAATATCTGTAAACAGTACAGAAAATAAATGATGTTATTTCATACAACGTTTTTAGGAAATGATATTTAAAGCTATTCTCTGATTTTAGAAAGAGGGATGTGAAAAAAACAAGAATTGTAAGCTCCTGGATTGAAATTTATTTTAAATTTGCTAATTTTATCTGACATTTAACTTGCATTTGGGAGCTTTTCTTTGTAATGTTTGCAGATATTTCTTTTGCTTTAATAAATATAACAAAAAATCAATAAATGTTTAATTTCCATTTAATCCTCGACATTTAAATGAAAAAGATTTTTAAGTTTTTTTCTCCCGTCGTCAGCGGTTTTATTTATACAAACATCTCCATTAAAGCGGCGCCTCAAAATTCTCGTGCGAGTCGATTTTCTTCCCTTGTTGGAAAATAAAATATCTCTAATTGACTATCTTATACAGTTGACAGGCACTGGCAACAATAGTATTTTGTAGTCTGCAAAGAAATATTTTGGATAGTTGAAAAATTTGGAAGCAAAAATAAATGTCTTATTTGTAAGTTTTTAAATTATAAATAAAAAATAAATTTGACCTAATCTAGCCAGTGATTATCTGATTTAATGCTGTTTTCCCCCTTAAATAATGAAGTTTTCGTAACTAAAAATTTATCCTTAAAAGTACATAATTTCATAAAAATCTGACTTAGGCATTTTTATAAATTAAAACTGTTTATTAATTAAATCCATAACAAACAGGATTTCATTAAATCTTTTTCTGTTTTCTAAATCAAAAAAAGCTTAAAAACAAAAAAATCAACTTTGTAAATTTTTGAAAATACAATTTTGATCATCTAGAAAAGCATTATATATATATATATAAAAATTAACAATATATTTTTCAGCCGTCCAATTTATTATTATTACCGCACTATACAGAAAACAAAATATCGATTTTTGCAAAGATTTTTATAATTAAGTAGCTTTGTACCAGATAATCAAATTGTACTTCATTAAAAAAGATGACATTCATTTGATGTGCAACATCTTAAAAATAAAGTGTCCAAATATTAAAAAAAAAAATAACAATAAAACTATGCAAAAGGTAAACAAGAGTCTTAACTATGAGAGCAAATGGCTCTTTTATTTTTCAGTGCATAAAAAATTTCTCTTCCACAAATGATTCATACTTTCAACTTGTTCGTTACAGTCAACAGTATTTTTTTTCTCAACCATTCAAAAAACAATGCACATATTTTTCCAATTTCACTTTTTTTTTGGTAGCCATGCACTTTTCTAAAAAAATAAACAAGTTAGTTTTTGGAAGTTTATTTCTGTAATAAAATTTGTTACAAAAAAGTGAGTTGACTTAACAGTAACTCATTTAACATTTTATTGGAAAAATGAAAGGCTACCAGAATCTGTGTGCATCAGGAACAAGTGGATGGGAGAAAGTAAATTACAAAATGATTTTTTTTTTTTTTTCTAATAATACAGTCTTGGCAACAATTTGAAATGATGAATACTGATGAAAATTAAAGAGCTGATTTTTATAACACAAAATTAGGACCCTCCCTTTAGCTGTACAGGACACAGCAAACATTGAATAAACTGAATTAGCAAACAATGGCTGGTATTTTATGATTTATACATTAGACATTTCAATAACTTGGCTTTTTGTTTATTATTAATTATTATTTTTGGAAACTTCACTCAAGGAAGAAATGCCACCAAGTCTTTGTGCCAAAGGCAACATATTCTTCTATTGGGGCCTTCGTTTTTGTAGAAACACACACCTATATACCAGGAACAACATCTGTTCAGTGGAAATGTGGAATGCATTAACACCAAAGACAAATACTGCAAGATGAATTTGTACATTTGTCACTTTCCTGGCATTCTTAAAGCACCTAACAATTATTTCGCATTTAACTTTACTTTGGCCCTAAAGCCTTAAATGCAAATATTTTCTTCTCATTAATAATTTTTCCCTGAAATATGGCAAGTATAGAATGTGTTAGCTCATCATGTCTGCCATTGTTGCATTCACTATAGTTGGCCCCTTTAAGGACTCATTGATATCTCTTCGAAATACAGACAGATTTTGAGTGAACCTGAAACAAAAGAAAAGTTGCAACCAGATGTCCGCACTGATTTTCAAAATGTCACTTTTGGTATAGACGAACGGCTTACCTGTCCCTGTTTTTCGTCAACAGATTCCTTTCGATGCCCTCCATTAGATTTTCGAACCACTGTGCCATCACTGGTTGTTTCTCTGCTGGCTGACTCTGTATTATTGTCTGGCGTAATTGATTAAAATACTGAAAATTAAATATTAATTTTCTTAGTCATTTAAGTTATTGAAGTAGAGGTTAAGGCTATACAAAGTAAGACTCATACGAGTGATGTCACTTGCCATGAATGATCATTAAATTTTAATGCCTCTTCTATCCATTAAATTGATATTTCATCGTTTATTATAACATATAAGTATTAAACTTCCTTCCTGAATTCTTTAATATAGTTTAATCCCATTGGGTCAAAGTTTCTGGAGATTTTTATCACCAGAGACTCCAAGGACTCCCTGTGGAGTCGCGAAACCGGGCCTCAAATAAATTTAACAGATATAAATGTCACCCCAACACAAAAATTATAACTCTGTCATTGTCATCCGGTACAAATGATGGTCTTAATTAGTTGTTGATAGTTAAAGAAGAATGGTTAAATATTTAGATAATTGTAAAATATTCATGGATAATATCCCTTCAGAGCGTATACTAGTTTCAATTTTNTATTCTACTGTCTAAAAAGTTTTCTCAGAAGCAAACAGAATAATTGAGAATAACTAATACTATCAATACTAATATTCTTGGTTTTGGATTAATATTTTGACTAATATGTACACAGCCTAATATATAGCATATATATTAGGCTGTGTACATATTAGGCGTTTTGTGTTGCGTTAAATGCGCGTTAGCAGCGTACACACCATGCATTAGCTTGGCGTTTGACGACCGTTTAGTGGAGCGTTATCACTGGCTCAGTTTGGAAATGGACGTGAAAGTAATTGCTTTTGTGCGCCTCTGGAAGAGGCGCTATAAAAGATGATGGCAGAGGCAAAGAAAATTTTGGGTGCACCCAATATTACGAGATAGACTGACACATGGAATGTTTCTGACGTTGTATCCAAAACTAAGGCAATATGAACCCAAATTTTTTAATTCTTTTAGAATATCTATAAAATCATTTGACAATGGCTGGTCTAGTTTAGATTTCATCAATAAATAGATCAGTATCGAAATGCTCGTTCTCCATTTTGGCCAGCATACGTCCACTCTACCTGAAAGCGCGCGATCCAACGTACAACAACATGGCAGCACATATATCTTAAAGTGCCCGTAAAATGCACGTTTTAACAAAAATCTATCAATGTGCGTTTGACGCGTGCTTGGCCAAAAGCGCACATTTGAGTATGTATGCCTATGTAGAACTCTTGATTCTTTAAAACGCCTAATGTGTACACAGCCTAAAGCTTAAAACTGATTTTTTTTTTTTCACAAAAATAATTTTTAAAGTTAACATTGAAACTTATTTGTATTTAATGAATATAGTTAAGATTGTAAGATACTCTTAAACAGTCCTGGTATAATCTTGCACTTAATGTATTCATGCCACATTCTTAGCATCTTTTTCTTGATTATTTGTGTTACACAATTCTTGCAGAGTGAAAAAGAGGAGGCATAAAATTATTAGTAAAAATTGAGATTGTGAATAATTAGTTTTGTAAACTATAAATCTAGCAGAAGAAAACCCTTAGTCAAAACCAAAAGCTAAACAATGACCAACAGAAGTAAAGATTAGTTTACTATGTCAGTTTGACAATGTTCTTTCATACATTGTTGAGTTGCATACTGCACAAACTTAAAAGGAATATGGTTTTGCTTAACCTTAGTCTTTGTAAACCAACATATATTTATAGATATATGTATGTAAATCATAAATAATTTTATATTTAGATCTAAAACATTTAATTAATGGGATGCAATTTTATTTATCCAAATCTTACTATGAAGTTAACCAACTAGAGCTTCATTTGCATAAGATAGCAATAAAATTCAAATAATTCAAACTCCAGAATTCAAAATGCTATTTTCCATATAAATCAAATAATGTAACTAACTAAATATAACTATAAAAGCAAAAATTCTCTCTTGCTACATTACAAATACAATAAGGAATTGAGTCCAAGCAGTATTATTATTTAATTTTTATTTTGCTTTTTATTCTATTTTGTTTGGGGCTTATGTTTAGTTAGGATGAAGATTCCCTCATCATTCACCTTAGTAACGAAAAAGAAAAGAGACGAAGAAAAAACCCAACTCACTGACTAGATGAAGCGCCATTGGGAAACTAACGCGCACTTGCGGTCCCAGGTGGAAGTTTGAAAGAAGTTCTGCAGAAAGAAGGGAGGGGAACATCCCCCCACACAAAGTGGAGAACTTGCTAAACCTTTGATAAAATAAACATCTCGAATATGTAATAAAAAGAATAATGTAAAAGGATTTAGCGAGAAATGTTGGAAACTCAGCTGCCCAGGAAGACATGCAAATTTATTGCTAGAAGTTAAGTATGTAAATGAGGGGAGCGGTACCAGAAATAATTTTGACGTCACCTCAGAGTATAAAACGAGCACGACCAGAGAAGACAAGTGAGATGAGCTCCAGACAGAAAGAGATTGAGGTGAATTCCAGAGCAAGATTGGAAGCAAGTTGAGGATAGCAAGGAGTAATTCGAAGGAAGTTGGATAAAAAGAAAAAGGTTCCTAGTATTGAGATGACGGATAGGATCATAGTTTCGTAAGATTCTTTGTACATAGTTTAATTGATTGATATTGTCAAATTCCAAGGGGGAATAGTTCATAAGTTATAGTAAGTAAATTGTATTATATTTTGTCGGGTTTTTCAAATTGTTTCTTTTCATTGCTACTAATTTGTACACAGTGAATAATTGAGTTCATATTAAATATTTGAGTTTCTTACTGACCCTTGTACATAGTTATTTCCGGAGCACACGTAAGCCCAGGCCTGGCATACTAACTATAAACCTGCGTAAAATACCCATTAGGTTAACGGTCGTAAAGTTTGGCAATAGTCCCGAACGCCTTACTGACACACAGTTCCGTGTCATATAAAAATCCATAGTACTTTACAATACTAAATATTTCACAAACCAATAGAAAAAAACTGTGACATCCTTGAATTTATGTCAAAGCTGTTGACGTTTTGCCTAACCAAGTAAAGAAATTTGATCAGATTTATTATCTACATAATAACTTATCACTTTATTTTGTATTTGTAAGCAGGACAGAGTTTTCATTTTTAAATTTTTGAAAGAAATAAAAACTTAATTTTGATTAACCTATGATCTGATTTCTGTTAAAGATTAAACTTTTAATATTTATATCAAATATTGATATATTATATATTTAAATGCAAATTATGTATGGATTATTATTAATTTAGATAGTAGTAATGAATGATGAACTAATTATTTTTCCAACAAAACAAACTTGAAATGTGATTTTAATGATAAGAATTTCATTCAAGTATAAACACACACTTTTTCATTGTTTTAGCAAATAAAATATTCCACATTTCATAATTTTTATCTAATTTTACATCACCTAAGTTACATTCATAAAAACAGTGGATTAATTGCATTTATTCTGTATTTTAATTAATCTAATACCTACAGTTACTTTTGATGTATATTGATATCTCTTAGAATAAAATTGCATTTTTGAAAACAGTTTTTTGACATAAATTTTTCATTTATAATCTTGTTTATGATCAATTTTAATTAGCTAATATTTAAATTCTTGATGAACTCAAATATTATTTTATTCATATTTAATAATTAAATCTCTATCATATAATGTTTGAGAAAGTTAACATGTTAACATTTCTGATTAAGAAAATTTTGATATTATCAAATACAGAAAAATCTGTGTATTAAGAAACAATCCAAAGTTCAAAATGCAAACAAATTCTGCATGATTTTCATTAATTTGGATCAGAGCATCATTCCAACATCCAATGTTTCTACAAAGTATCCCATCAAATCAAAGTACCACATAAACCACACCGCTACAACCCATAGTTTTTTTGATAAAGATGCAAAAGAAAAAGTATGACATCACATCTGGTCATGGAAAATAAACTTTATTGGAAACATGAACATTAGTACTTGCATATGACATTATTCTTATGTAGGAAGATGCTCAAATGACCACCACATATATTAAGGGATGCACACACACACACCATGCAGACTGTACACAATCTTGGTTGCCCTTCTTTATGCGGCATTCGACTTTTCTGGACAACATGATGCTGGATAGTGTGCATGCATGCCTCAATATGCATTTTGAGCATTACATTGGCAACTGTTAGAAATCAATTCATTAATAAGTTATAGATATGGGAAATATCTTGACATTTGTGTTTTTAGAACAATGGCTATAGTTCATATTATAGGAGGATGCATTATATTCTCATGCATCATGAAGATATAATGCATGAAAGCTAATTTTTTAATGTAAGAAATGAAATATACAAATATGTATATATTTAGTACTCTTCATTTAATTAAATAGCAATAAATAAATAATTATTCTAATAAAATATAAGTATATATGTTACCTCTTCATTTAATAAAATTAAACCTAATAATGGTCTGGACATGGACCATTGATTCCTACAATCTTCAAACATGATTATATTTAAAATAGTGGACAGCATCTAAAAAACAAAGACTGTTGAATTAATAGATATATGAGATAGCTAACTTCACTGACTTTACATTTTATACAATACCTGTTGTAGTATTTCTGGATGTAATTCAAGAACCCTTAAACAAGCTTCACTGTCTTGTTGCTGGGCAGCAGATGACCGATGTTTTTTACCACTTTTAGAAAGACGTTTGAATAAATAGGTTACAATATGGTCTAGTGTTGCACAACAGCCTGTACACACCATTGTATCTGAAAATTATAAAGGAACATAAACTGATAAGATTAATTACATCTTTCTAATGTAATAAAATTCATGTTAGTTAAATAATTTAACATAAAATATGATTCTTTTCATAGCTTATGAACAGAACCATCGTTCAATCTGATCTTGAGGTAAACGACTGAAAGATTGTGGGACTAACATCTAGGCATGCCCAAATGCCTCAAAGTCATTCTAAGATAAGTTTTATTTATGATCACCATTTTATTATACACAGATTCCATCAACAGTCACTATCAAATAGCTTCTAAACAAAAACCTTTGTAAGACTAAACAATCCATGAAATTTTTGTATAAACTCATTTTAATATTCAGTAACTTTTCTTATTTAACTTTCCACCATGAATATTCTGTTTTGTACTGTAACACATTTCCATTACCAAATATTTAATTTAAATAACAATAACATGCTAATACTATTATACAGTGAGATACAGGAAAATACAATGCAAAATCAAAAATATAGGTATAAAATTAATTTATTTAACTTTTATACATTGTGCATGTAAATTTGTAAAACAAACAAACTTTCTTTAATAAAAAGCATACACATTCTAATGCAAATTAAAACCAAATAACTGAACTAAACTGGAAACTGAACCTTATAAATGTGATCTTATAAAGGTGTAACTGATCCTCTAATCAAAGTGGGGAGGCCCCAATACATGCCTGCTAAGTCAGCTGATGGTATTCCTTTGCATTTGTTGTAGCATACCCAACTGTACTTGGGAACTGATGATACACAATGGCCAGTGTCACCAAATCTGACTTGTAGTATAGTTAAATTTCTCATTTAATCACCCATAATAATTTATAATTTACTTCAAAATAAAAATATATATTTGGGTTTTAGTAGTTGAATAAATAATAGTTGCTTTGCATTTATTTATATCAGATGTCATTCTTTTGCACCTAAAAATTATATCATAAATCTATAAAAAACTTTAATATGATATTCAACACATTTTTTTTCTTCAAAGAAATTTGATTGGTACAGTTTGGTAATTTGAAGAATAGTGGTCATTAATTCTCAATTCAGTATCTTAGATATGAAATCATTGCATTTAGGATGCTGTTATGATATTGTATAGAAAAATTAATTATCAAATTAAATAATATTAAAATTTTATATGAAAATGCCACAGTATATCTTTTAAAAAAATAGTCAATTTTAACAATATATAAGTTTTATAGTCAATATCAAATAAAAATTTCTAAGCAATTACTAAATATGATTTTACATCAAATAATATTAAAATTACTGATTTAGAAATAAGTAGAAATTTACTGTTTGCCAAAATAGATAATTTTAATTGCTAAATGATTTTGTAATTATCTTACTGCATTTCAGTGATAATATTACAGGGTGACAAGAAACAATGTTGACAAGCATTTTACTCAATATCTTATGATATAGACAAAAATCTAATAAACAAATAAATGATGACATTAAAACACCCCCTTTAAAAGCAACCTATTCAAAAAATTCTGAAATAACTTCCTCCTGCTTTGACACAGAACCTCAAATGTTTCACAAAATTAGCAGTAATATGCCACAACTCTTCTGATATTTTGTTCCATTCTGTCATCAGGGATTTATTCAGTGAGTCCAAACTTCTGTGAGACTTAGCAAATGTCCTGGCACCTAGAAACTGACCATATACTGAAATCCACAGGATTTCAGTGTGTAAGATATGGTAAGCAAAACATTCAGCAGATATGACAGATAAAGTTTGGAAAATGGTCCTTATACTACTGTTGATCTGCTCTAGCTCTGTGGGCAGGTGCAGAGTCTTGTTGAAATGTCCATTCTTGATTCCAAAAATATTTTTTTGAACCAAGGAAGGTCAATAGTCTCCAAGATCTCCCAACAGCAAATATCTTGATTAATTTTTTTTCCTTTTTTCTACAGAAAGCAAAGACATTTGCCACTGGCACAAATTTCAGCCGAACCATGACAGACTAAGAATTTTGATAGTGTCCAATGATGGCTGATGTTCTGAAAATTTCAGCTGACCAGACTCATTTTGCCAGTTGTGTGACTGCTCACTATAAACAACTCATCTGTGAAAAGAATATTTTTCCAGCAAGAATCTGTAGTGTGACGTAAGAGTGAACTGCATCTTTGCAGTCTTATAAGAATGTTTTCTTCTGTAAAAAGAACATTTTTTGAATTGTAAGGTTTAAGTCCAAGCTACTGTTTGGCTATTCAACAAATTTCCTATTGATTCTGATCTCATGTGCAATTTTTCTTATTTCTTATTCTCAATTTTTGAGAATCAATAAAATTTGCTTTTGGATAATTTGACAGATATGAAGTGTTGACTATGTGTTTTCTTACTCTTCCAGGACAGCGATCATCATGACTAAGTTTCTTATATTGTTTAATTATTTTTAAAATATACCAATTGATGAGACACACCAAATGCTTGAATGGTTTCAAAATGACAATTTTCAACTTTAAATACAGAAATAACTCCATTATACACCTGCTATCTTTAAAAAATAAACATCGTCATTGCCATAGAAACAAATATGGAAAAGAACATGAAGATTAAATTAATAAATATTTTATATTTATAATGTAGTACAAAAAAATTAGTTAATGCTATAACTTGTCACTCAGTATGGTACAAAATTAAAAATTTTTTAAATAAGCTTTTAGTCATAAACTTTTGTTTTCCTTAAAAAACAAGATTCACAATTACAAATAAAAACTGACAATGTGATAAATGATAAATCACTGTGTTAGAATCCCTGCTGACCAGCGATGTTAAGTATATAGTTCAATTCTTGAACTAATGCCTCCTGAGTTGAAGAATGGGTGTGGGCCCTCTTAACCAGTGCTTTAAAGGCCGCCATTTTATATCTGAATGGGTCACAGGAGTTCGCTGGGATTTAAGCACTGGTTAAGAGGGCCCACACCCATTCTTCAACTCATGAGGCATTAGTTCAAGAATTGAACTATATACTTAACATCGCCGGTCAGCAGGGATTCTATAACATGGTCCATAAGTTAGCTCGACACTACAGCGTCGGCCTACCACCGATAAATCACTGCTTGAAGATAGTTATTTTTAAGTATTTCATAATTGCTTTCTAATTAATTAAACAAAAACATTACAATGAAATCTTGCACATACTAAATTATAACTCACCTAAAGCTGTAAGACCTTCTGAAATAGATGATAAAATATACAGGAACAGCTGAGGTTCTAAACTGCTTAAAAAATTTATATGATCCTGTGCTAAACACTCTAAAAGTACATAGTATGTTTGGCTGAGTTTTGGATAATCCTGAAAAATATGAAATTATAACAGTTAAATATATCAAAGAAGATAATTAAATTACACTCTTAGTAATTAAATTTCTTAATCTATAGATATCTCTTATTCTTATATTAGAATGACACATTCTAATGAAATGATAAAGCAGGGGTGTCCAACCTTTTTGTTTTTCTGGGCCGCATTGGAAGAAGTCAAGGAGTTTTGGGCCACAAGTATATATAATATATACTTGTGGCCCAATATACAAGTATACTTAAAAATTAACATGTCTAGATTACAATAATAAGAATAAAAACTTTATCAAGAAAAAGGAATATTTTAAAAAATTACTTCTACAGACACTTTCAATTTTTACTTAGAAATAGATAAATTCATTTATTATAAAAGAGACTAAAGAAAATTTATTTGAAAAACACAAATATTTGTTTTATTTGGGTCTCTAATTAATAAAAAGCGACGAAACACCATTTTAAAGTGCATTTTTATTCAATTAATATAATTATAAATAATATGTAGCCGAAAAAAGTAGCCAAAGCGCCAAATGATATTTTTTACGTCAAGCAAAAAAAATGTAGCCACATTTGGCCCAATGTAGCCAAATCTTGCAACGTTGGAAGGAATACTAAATAAAGCTGGAGTTATGAATCAAAGGATTATAGACCCAAGTGCGGGGAAAAAGAGGAAAAGGACAAAAGATAAAGAAGTGAAAAAGGTTGAAAAATTATGGCTCCATATTTGCTTAACAGAAGATCTATTTAACGTTTCTCATTACTACATCTTTTGTCCTTTCTCACCTTTCCTTCCTTTCCCCAAATTTGGGTCTATAATCCTTTGAGTCACAACTCCAGCTTTATTTAGTAATCCTTCCGCATTCACACATCTCCAAGTATTTGAAAATATTTCCTTTCCACTCAGAAATAAAATATGAATAAAGGTTTACGACTTTGTGAAACTTTTTTTTTGAGTTTATGCCGTTGAAATAAATAAATAATTAAAAAATTAAAACATTTGTCGGTTTTGTTTACACGTTTATTGGGCCGCATTGGAACTTGCCTTGGGCCGCATGTGTCCCGCGGGCCGCGGGTTGGACACCCCTGTGATAAAGCAAATTAAATTTTTTCTCTATTTAAATTGATCCAAAACATTTTTCAATAAATAGTTTATACTTTTATCAATCAACAGTTAAATCATGACCACAAGTATAAATAACTAGCAAAATACTATATGATTTGCATTACTATGTGAATTTAGGAGCAAAAGCATACATTGTCTCAAATTTAGAAAACTTGAAAAAAATGAACTTACTAAATGTCTCAAAAAGTATTTACTGTGATAAAATTAATGATTTTTAGTAACAAAATCATGAAAAAATGAATAGTTTTCAAATGGCTTCAATAGTTTCAGTATTATTAAAAAAAATTACTACACTATTCTTTCTAAAATCACAGACTTGTTGAATCTGTTATTCTGTAACTTTTGATTATTCTTTATATTCAAAAATATTGCAAAGGATATAAGATTCAAAACACAAAAACTAATTTTATTTATTTTACAAAATTAAACTTTATTTTTACTTTGGAAACACAGTAAACTCTCACTAACTTAGACAAATTTTTTCAAAACAGCAATTTAAAATTTCTTGACAATAGAAAAATTATAATTAATGTTTTTGATATCAGAAAGTCTTTGTGATACTGTGCATTACACTATTGTAGTTAGTAAATTACTAAAGACTGTACATTGCTGTATACTATACTATCATAAAAATTTTTGAGACTGTTTCCAGTAATAATAAATTCAGTATTATAATCTCACTAATTAAAACTTCTTTATAGAGGGATCAAAATAAATTATTGTACCATATATCCATCTTCTTGTTTTCCATATCATTAGAGAAAATACCTTGCTAAGTCAGACTTTTGTAAACTCAGACAACCTTCACCCTCTATTAGTCCAAGTTTGCAGGGGGTTTACTGTATTTTTAATTGGGTTTTTATGATAATCATAATGCCTTCTTATTCAACAGATCAATTTTTGAACTTTCATAATATTAAAACTTACCAGAAGATCTGATTGTGGGATTGATAGAAGCAGTTTCACAAAAATATTCAAGGCATCATCCAAGGCACTGTCTCCATATAACCTAAATACTCCAAAGTTGACATATCCACCACAAAGAGCAGATTTTAACATAGAGAAGCTAATAGATACTCCTTTTAATGTAAAATTTGTTAAGAATTTATCACAAAATAACTTCTTAAAATTAACTTACCAGTTTTAAATTTAAAATCATTTATGATTAATGCAAAAGTTTTCTATTAAACAATTAATGTATAGGAGCAATCAATTTATTGTGACATCATAGTGCCAGGCTGCAATTTTTAATCATTTTTTAATTAAAAAAAAAATCACAAGATTTTCGATCCAGACTGGAAGTTCATATGTAGTTAACAGGGTCCTTGGCCCGTAAGCTTTCTATACTTGGTTTTGATTTTCATCTAGACAACAGCTGAGTGCTGATTAAAATGTACTAAAATCAACTAACACAAAAACCTATAAACCAGCAAAATTTCACTTACTATTCATGCTAACATTTTCATCCACATTCAATTGGAAATCTTCAGGCTATAGATGGAATTGTAACTGCACACTTTTGAACAATTCAAAACCTACGTGATGTCACCCGCTGATTGGTGGAGACATTCCCCATATGTACTTGTAGTTTACAGGGGTGAAGGAAAAATTACCATGCATTGGGGAACGTGTTATCATCCTTAAAGTTGAAGTCTCCTTATTCAAAGCTGCCTTGTATATTTCTAGCAGTTCAAGATAGCAGAGTTGCACTCTGTTGGATGTTTGGCAACATTTGCAGGGAGTATACTCCATCTCCCTTATGGATTACCAAACCAAAAAAGAGTTGGAGTATGTTGGAGCAACCAGTAGACAGATCATCTGTTGCTTAAAAGAACATTATATGGATATTTCTAGGGGTTGGTTTTCCTCCACACTGTCTTCTTATGCCAGTAACCCAGATGTGGAGATACATTTGGATAGGACCAGGATCCTCCACCGAATGTCCAACAGAGTGCAACTCTGCTGCCTTGAACTGCTAGAAATATACAAAGCAGCTTTGAATAAAGATACTTTTTATGTATTGGGAATGTGTCATTATTTTACTCCCTGCAAACTATGAATATGTATAGGGAACACCTCCAACAGTGGACGACAACATGTCAGTTTCAAATTGTTCAAAAGCATGTAGTCACTATTCCATCTACAGCCTGAAGATATCCAATTGAATGTAGATGAAAATGTTTGTGTAAATAGTAAATAACATTTTGCTGGTTTATAGATTTTGTGTCAGTTGATTTAGATTCTTATCTAACTTCAATCTTGAGTTTAATGAAGGACAGACAGTCAACAGTAAGAATTTTTGGTCTACAATTTGAAAATTGCAGCCCAAAAATAATAGCAGAAAAATGTAGCAAAGCTTGTTAATATATAATAATGTATATTCTTTACTACAAGATCATGAGATCAATATATTCATATAACTGTGCCTGTATGGTAGAAGAATTTGATACAATCATTGCTAATGTATTTCACTGAAATAGCTATAATCACTGTCAATACTGAGTCAAGCGTTTTTGGCTTGACAGTATTGAAACGATTTTTGCTGATATCACCACTGGTCTTAATGAAAACATTAATTTTTTTTTCATTTTTTTAATCAATGTTAAAAATTTGTAATTACTGTATATAGAACAGGGGTGGCCAAACAAGTCGATCACAAAAACAATTTTGGTCGATCGCTCACGATGTCTTACTTAATGTGTTACATTTATAACTGAACACAATGTGTGAACGTAATGCACAAACACAACTGTAGAGATATCAGACCTCCGTGTCCTCCCTCAGATGCAGTTTTGTCGGTCCATGTGCAACCATCTGCATACAGTTGTAAAAGGGGAATAAGAAATGTAAACAATGGGTCATAAAAAAAAAAAAAAAAAAAAAAAAAAAAAAAAAAAAAAAAAAAAAAAAAAAAAAAAAAAAANAATTCCTGGATGACAGCAGCAATTTTTGAGAAGTGGTTTTCACCAGACATTCATCCCTGATATCCATAGGCACCTTAGAAGCAAAGGAATAGAACCACAAGCATGCCTACGTCTAGACCAGGGGTGGCCAACAAGTCGATCGCAATCGACCGGTCAATCCCAAAAATAATTTTGGTTGATTGCTCGCGATGTCTTGACTTAATGTGTTACACTTGTAAGTTGTAACCGAACACAACACGTGAATGTAATGTGCAAATGCAACTGTAGTGATATAGGACCTCCTCGTTCTCCCTCAGATGCGGTTTTGTTGGTCCATGTGCAATCCATTTGCTTACAGTTGTAAAAGGGAAATAAGAAATGTAGACAAAGGGTCATAAAACCGAAAAAAAGAAAGGCGGGAATAGGGACAGAAAGAGTAGGTTGGGACATGGTAGAGAGAGGAAGGGTGAAGTTGTGGTCCCTGGAAGTGACAATGCTGAGTTTCAATTTTTCTTCTGTTTAAAATGTAAGTACCTTTTCTTCATGTTTTAAATTAAATTGTGGCTTTTCTTACCTATCTAAACATAGTATTTATTTCACACCTCNATGGTAGAGAGAGGAAGGGTGAAGTTGTGGTCCCTGGAAGTGACAATGCTGAGTTTCAATTTTTCTTCTGTTTAAAATGTAAGTACCTTTTCTTCATGTTTTAAATTAAATTGTGGCTTTTCTTACCTATCTAAACATAGTATTTATTTCACATCTCTGCCTCACCACTTAGACTATGCCTACAACAACAAGTCGATTGCGACACATTTTTAAGATAAAAAGTAGATCTTATGTTCACAATAGTTGGCCACCCCTGACATAGAATAATGTGCAATCAGTTTTAATTTTGGAAATACTATGAATATGAAACTTGTTAAAATTTGCAAATATAATAATTTAGAAAAGTATTGTATTTAAAATCTTAAGTCTTTAAAATATTTTAAATACACTTTATACAAGTTTTACAGCATTAGTTGTTTACTATTCTATAAAATTCATTACATAACTTTTGCTTAATAAAATTGAACTATTTTTCATCCTAAACATATTTATGAAGCAAAATTTATGGCATAAAATTTTAGAAATGTGATTCAGTTTTTAAGCTGTAAAAAGAAAAGTACAGTAGAACCTCGATTATCCAGACTAATTGGGGATGAAGGTACTCCGGATAATCGAAACAAATACTTTAATTTGTCTTTTAATGATAATACAACACGTTTTCTTTTCGATGACATATCGGTAATATTAAAAATAAATACTGTATTTAAATCGTGATCAAATTTTCAAGAAACAAACGTTCGTATTGAATTTAGACTACTACTGACCAACGCTAACAGACTACCTATTGTTTAAAAGGCCCTCTGGTGGCGCAAGAAGACGGATTTTATAAAATAAAAAGCAGTTGAAACTGCATTTTTATGAATAAAAATTTGACAAACTATTTATCTTCTTATGACGAGTAAAATTTTTCGTTGCGTTCACGGCTTTTAAGTAATGCATAAACCTTCGAGGCGCGAGGCCCTTCGGACCGCGAGGCATAGGCGGTGGCCCACGTTGCCCATGCCTTACGCCGCCCTTGGTTATAGAAATGATGTAATTTGAGTATAAATTATTTATAAATATGTATGTCAAGTTATATTTTTATTACGATGCAAAATATATTTAAGAGTTTACGACCACTGTGCCGGGTGAGACGTTGTTGAAACAAAAAATGTTATGCATTCCATCACGTACATAAACAGTGTCGTAATTCGCCAAGTGCAAATCAGCAAATTCGTAAAATTTTTGTTTATTTTGAACAATCCGGATAATTGAGGTTCTACTGTATATGAATAATTGAACAATTACCAAAACAAGTAATAAAATTAAGTAAATATCAATAAATACCATTATTACATAAATAAACAGATTTTCATTGTCAATTAAAAATTTGAGAAAACAACTTATAAAATATTTAAATATATAAAATTTAATACGATAAAAATTCCACATATTTCACCAAAAATATAAATGGTATGCTTATAAATGTCTCTGAACTGAAAATTCCAAGGATTTTTAATTCAAGAATCATTTATAAGAACTCGTGATTTTTCCAGAATATGAAAAAATTTATTATTTTTGAGAACATTAAGAATCCAAAAAATATAACTTTTAAAATAGGTATTTTAAATATGTTATAAAATATATGAAATCCATAGATATAAAAATGCTTACAGGTAAAAAAAAAAACCCAACTGAAACTATATATGAAAATTTTTTAAACAAAATATCTATAAAATTTTGTATTTTATCTGAAGTATGTAATATTTTGGAATGCAGAATAAATTAAATATTTTCCATAAAAGAAACTAGTTTAAAAAACAATATTAACAGAATTATTATTATTATTATCCAAAAGTATAAAGCTTTTGAGTAATGCTTTATTATTTACTTTTTAATGATAAAAGGATATTTCATTGGATAGACTTGATCTTTTGGAACTTCACCTAATGTAAGTATCCTTGTACCTAAAAAATAAAATATACTAACAGAATTAAATGAATACAACAACTATATTTTATTCAATTTATATATTTCAATAGCTAATATATGCAATGATTAATCATAACATACCGTAATTAACTATCATTTTGCTTGTTTCCCGAAATAAAAGAATACCATTGGGTGAAGAAACATCAAACTGTAATCTCTGAGATCTATTTTGCACTAATTCAGCCATTAATTTTAAAACAGGTGTTGTCACAGCTGGATCATGATACCATAATTCAACTGCTCTATGCAATATAGGAGTATATGTTGGATATCTATCTAAAGTTAAGAATATTTTATTTATTTATTAATATACATGGAATATATAAATATATGAAAAAAAAATATGCTAATACGATATCTCTTGTATACAATTTTAAAGGATACATCCACTCAAAAAGCATCATATAGCTAGTTTTTGTATTGAAAGCATATGCTAATCCTCTTAAATCACGAGCCAATCCAATTAAAGCTTTCTGCAAAACATTCTACAATTTAATTGTTTTAAATCTATAATTAAACTACTATTTAAAATATTTTTATAAAATTAATATTAAATTTATATTAACCTTTGCTTCATCTGTGTTGAAAACTGGAGATTCCAGCATATTACCAACAGCATCAAATGAAGCTGTAAAGATATTTTTGTTATTATTCATTATTGTAATAATTCAATATTTGATGTTTTATTATATTTCCAATATGTTATAATAAATAACCTATTGGAAAGCAAGGAATATCTTAGCAAAAATAAATGGAAAATTTTAATATTGATAATATTAGCAACAGAAAGAATTTCATGTGTTAAAAATATAAATGTTACAATATTAAGAAAATTTATAAATAATAATTCTAAAACATTTAAGTTTTTAAGCATGGTAACAAATATCACTGCAGTGAAACAAAACATACCAAATCTTTCCTCAAGTTCAACAAATTATACATATGACATTTCATTAAACAAAATACACAAAAACACAAAATGTAATGCATCATACAATTCTTCATTATTAATAAATACTGTTTTTATTAATTATTTAAAAGCTTGTGCTTAAATAATAAGGTGGTGTTCATGATATGTTATTTCTATAATCAAACAGTACCAAAAAATAATGAATATATTGAATTGTTAAACTTTAAATATAGTCAATATGTAATATTTACAGTATACATGTATGTATATCATCTGAAATCTATTTATATATTTCACATAATGTGAAAGAGAAAAATATAACGATAACAGTTACTATTAGTTAACTGTCACTAGTGCTTATAATTGTAATCACAGAACTTTATCCAATACCTTTGAATTTATCTTTTTGATATTTTCTTTTTCTAAATAGAAAAGTACCTATTTAGGAAAAGAAAATATCATCATATAATTTGTTCATTAATGGATTATATATATATAATGCAGAATTATCAATTAACATATTACTTTACATTAAATTATAATACAGTAGAGCTTCGTTTATCCGAATCAATTGGGGACTGAGGTTGTTTGGATAACTTATTTTTCAGATAACATATTATGTACAAAAAAATATATTAACCTATCCTGTGTTGAAATTTTTCTCCGTTGCATGTCGCTTCGCGTTGAATTTTCGTCGATATTAAGCCTAACGTATACTTTTTAAAATAATAATCGTGGCTATCGTATCGTTAAAAATTATTTCTTTATTTCTTACAAACAAAATAAATATATTGAAAAATATAAAAACCAAAAAATATATACTTTAGAAGTTGATCTAGTATCAAAAACATTTGATTCGGCACGACACACAATCCGCAGAAAAACACCACACAAAAGTGCCAGTGCTGCCAGCTAAAAAACACACATCAACAAAAAAAAGTATTAGAGTAGCCCAAGATATGGCCAAAGATTGCAGCACCACAGCACTAGTGAAAATTTAAATTTGCCAACCGGAATGCTTTCTGATAACCGACTTTTGGATAAACGACGCTCTACTGTACAATAGAAGCCACTTACTGTAATCACTTTGGGACTTGTCTATATTGATGATGATAACTAACTGATAACTTTAAACGGGATAAGTAAATAACACTACATTTTATTGACTGGCATTAAAAAAGAATTAAAAAATATATAACTTGAATATCTCTTAATTATAATTATTATTTGATAATAATTCATTCACTGAGTATCTTTTTAACTATAACAAGTATATAACTGATGTTAGGAGATCCAGCAATTTAAACCATTGTACAGCAAGCAAATAACAATCAAAACAATTAACATTTAAAGCACTGATTAAGACTAATAAAAACTATTATCAGCACATGTTGAAGCTGAAAGCACAAAAAGACAGCTTAAAAATGCATACTTACCAGAAGATAATGATAACTATAATTAATAACAGACATGGAACCAATTTCCAGTATGTGTGATACAAAAAACAAACACTGCATGAATGTTTTCCAACTCCTTCTGAGTTCTTCTTCAGGTATTTTCTTCAGGACAGAACATTATGAAAGCATTATTGAAGCAAATGTCTATTTGTAAAATTTTTTTAAAACTTATAATACAGTAAAGTATTATAAGTATTATAGTAGAGTATACAGTAGAGTATTGTGCAGTGTTTGGTTTTTGTATTATACATACCAGAAATTGATTCCGTGTCTATTGCTACATATATCATGATGTAGTGTGGTGTATAAGATAATTGAAATTTGATTACAATAAGTGAAGTTTTATAAATGTATATTAATTTATATGTTCAGAAAAAGCAATTCTGATAACATTAGATGGCTAATAACAAAATTTATGATTACAATAAGAGGATTCTACTTTTTAAATAGAAATTTATAATTTCAATTATAACAATTAGATTTAAATGCTTATTTCCATATTTAAAATCAATGAGATTATCAATATATCAAAGGATTATTAAATATGAATTAACATGTCAAGTTGTCAATGGAAGATACTGAAAATGTTTTATTGTTATTTGGAAATGAAATATATTTTAAATTCACAATGACAGAAAAGGAGAAACTTTTAAAACTGACATAGAACGTGGTTCATTTTAATCAATTCAATGGAATAACTCGGGGAGAGGAAATGCATCTTGCAAAACATTTTATTAAATCAAAAATGTTTGACTTCAAGGTTACTGATTTCATTATAGATTATGCTACAATTGGCAAAACATGGTGACTTTTATTTTTTTAAATGCAAACTCCCATTTTTTATTGAATACAGTCAAACATTCAGTTTTGAACATCTGATGTTTTGAACAATTCAGTTTACAAGTAAAATTTTGAATTAATTTTTGCCCTGGTTGCCAAACAAGCTACTCAGCAGAGATGGCCACAGATGGCCAACTTCTTACGTTAAAGAAAGTCAATGGCCCAACCAATCAAAAACAGGACTACCAATTCAATAGTTAGTGGTACCAAGATTGTGTTGCATCATTAGACATCACGATACAAATTATCAATGACATTGCTATTTAAATTTGATTTCAATGCACATGCAGGAAAGATACTATTTCTGTTTCTTGATATGCATTGCAGTTGAATCTAAATCAAATTAATTAATAAAAGCCATATTAATTGACATTCACGTAATATAAATGGCATTCAAGAATTTGTGTTTAAATATGCTTAAGTTAAATTAAATGATAAAAATTTATTAATTCTAGGTAGCCAGTTAATTAAAAGTAAAAGTAGTAAAATAATGATTAAAACTCTGGCCTTTGTACTTTAAAATTAATTAACTTATTTATTTAAAGTAAAATTGAAATCAAATTAATTGAAACATAATACAGCTGTCCCTTGATAGTCCGACGTTTTTTAATCCGACATGCTCAGTAGTCCAACGCACCTCCCGTCAAGGTCCCTGTCCCTGTTATGTGTCTGCTTGCACAGAAGCATGTCATGATGTGAATCTCCCCACCCAATTCTTACATGATGATACACATTTCGTGTGTTTTCTGTGAGCAGTTCTGTTCAAACAGTTGGAGTAGGGAATATTGTAGACTGCTGCTAGTAAAACAATGCCAAATATGTAATCACTTTCAGTAATCCAACACCCTTTTGGTACCATCCTGTCGGATTATCAACGGACAGCTGTATTTTGGAAAGTGTGAATAAAGTACTTGTTGTCTGTCTTGATCAATTTCATTATATTTCAACTTGGCAATTAGAGTTGAGTCTCTATTTATAGCACTTCTTTGTAAAGTGTTAGTTTCAACTGGCAGTGACAGAACATTTTGCTTTTAATATATATGTAAAATAGATATAAATAATATAATATTGCCTTTATAGGCATTTTTATGTAAATACAGCTAAAAGGATAAAAAAAATGTTTCATTTTGGGAGTTAGAAATGGACTAATTCATTTTATATTGTTTCTTGTGAGAAAATTTGCTTAAGTTTTAGAACAAATCAGTTTCAAACAACTTTTAGGAACAAATTAAGTTCAAAACCTTAGATTTGACTGTATTATGATTTTACATAAAAAACAAACAAACATTTATTTGAAAAATTCTTCTCTAAAACTGCATTCATCATAAGTTGTGTGTTTGAACTTTAACACTTTTAGTAACACCAAATGCATTATTAATTATAATTATTAAATTTAATAAGAGATGGCACCTAATGCCTACCTCTAGTGCCAAATTACTTGGTACATAGTCAAATGATTGCCTTAAAGTTTGGTTATGTATATATATTGGACTTCGGGTTGTTTAATACACTTAAATTACTTGGTATTTAATAATTATTATTAGCAATAATGTAGCCTGATTTAATCCAGTAATTGTCTGGCTTTAATAAAAAACTGAGACATTTCCAACAGAGAATTGACTTATGCAGTCAGGAAAATGAAGCGATCTTTGAACATCTGCAATAGGAGAAAACTGTGAGGTAAGAAAATTCATATTAATTAAACACTTTATTAAAGTTTAATTAATATAAAAAATGCATTGAGAAAATTAAGATGACCTTAAACTGAGCTTGAAGATAGATTCTAAAAATCAACCAAGATCAATGTCTTGTCTTTATCACAAGCTTGATGGCTTTAACACTGTGGCATGAGTTTTTGTCACAATCATCTTTCTTCAAATAATGAACTGACTTGTATCAATTCAATATTTGAAGAAAAAGAATGACTCCATCAAATAATAAGAGATTCCTAATGATTTTTTAAACATTTTTCTTCTTTTTTTTCAAAGAACTTTACAGATATCCATAGATGTAATGCATGGCTTGGCAGTTCAAATGCCTGTAACTTTTGTAAAAATAATTTTAGATAAAAATTTGTTTTTAGTAGAATCATAATATAAAATAAAAAAATAAGGGTTCCAATTTAAGAAAATGAAGCAGATCCCATTTTTTATTGATTGTATGAGCTATCATTATGAAACTAATACTACCATCTTGTGGCCCCATTCAACTTTAACATTTTTATTTTAATGAATTTTTTATAAGACATGCAGTTTTCAAGTTATTCTAGTGGATCAATTGAAATGAACCACTGCGTATAAACGATACAGTTAAACAGGAAAATTATAAATTTATTACTGGTCAAAAGGACAGGTTTATAATTATATATCAAATTTATAGTTGGTTCTCAAAGATGTTGACAGGTATTATGCATTAGTAGCATTTAGTAATATATGTTATAAAACTCTAATTATGCTAAACTAAAAAAAATTTTTAATGGTACATTTACTGAATCATTGTATTAATTCATTAAATACAAACTGCAATAATCAGGAAATAACAAATGTGATTCTAGCCAATACAACATTCAAGTTTTTAAACTTGTTTTATAAATATTGTATAAAACAAACTACTGCTACAACTAAAATTCTTATTTAAATAAACCTGTAAAAATCAACTTTTATCCAGGAATGCACTATGACTCAGCAAAATTCCTTCTAAACAATAAGTAAATAATACAAGTATCATGTTATTTGCCATTCATAGCATTTTATTTTGCCATCATATTTGTAGAAATTTAAAACAGTTAGTTAGAATTAGAATTTCTTTGCATATGATTTCTCATGGGATTAAAGTTTTTAAATTGTTAAAAATCCTATGTTGAAAATTAGAAATAAAATTTTGAGTAAAATATTAACCTGTTAAAGGTAACATAAATTGTTCAAATCTTTCCTCATCTTCTCCTAAATCAACCATCAGAAGACGTCCTAATGAGGTATAAAATGTCGATCTACACCTCATATCAGCTATTTGTGCGTTGTTTCCAAGAAATGGAAAATGTTCACTCTGTTAAAAAATGTTTAATTGTTAAAATAATTAAGGTCAAATATTATTTCTTTACATTTTAAAATTTTCTTGAAAAATTTAAAAAAATTATAATTTGTTTTATTATTACACAACTTCATATAATACCAGCAAATTTAAGACAAAAATCAATTTTAAATACTGTACTTTCTGGGGAAATCCCTTATGTTACATGTATAAAAAATTTTGAAAAAGGAAAGTGGGATTAGTAATGATATTTTTGTTACACTTTTATTAGAATTTTGTAAGATGCAGGATATATGTTCTTATAGAAATTATTAATCTATTTAGTCCTAGTTTACATTAAACAGGAGGTATGGGAGTTTCCCTAGAAAATATGGTATTTTAATAATGTAAACTTAATTTAATGTTTGAATGTCAAATAACATAGATATGAAAGCTTTCTGTACATAATAGAACTATGTATAACATAAATATAAACTAAATTCTGTATTTATAGAATTTTTGTGAATTATAATTACACTTTTAAATTAAAATTATTATTAAAAATTAAAAAAATAATTCAAGCATGTAAAATATTAAGCAACACTGAATTTAAATTATTACACTATATAATTATATAACTCAATAATATTTTATGGACAATATTTACAAATTGAACTTCTAATATAAGATCACAATAATGATCAGCTAGCTAAAATTTGACTTTTAACCACCAAAATTTAATAGCATCAATGCTCCTTATATATACAAGTGACCACACCAAATTTCATTTCTTAATCTTTATCCTGTTCTGAGATATTAAATAAAACAGATACCAACACACAAACACACATCCATGGAATTTTTTCCCATTTTTTGACTTTTTTAGGTTCAAGGGTTTTTTGCAAATTTGGAGATTTGCAAAAAAACTCAGAAATTCAAATCTGACACAATTCCAATACTTTCCCTTACATGACTTCCAGGAAAGTAAAATATAACAAGTCAAAAAGTTGATTTAAAAAGCATGAGAGCTTTAGATAAAGGAAAATAATACTTAAAAATAAATGATACTTTTATCTAAATTTTACAATTTAAATATCTGAATTTTGTAAAAAAAAAAGATTTCAGGAAGGATAACAATATTTTAATTATAATTTGTTAAAATTAAACTAATTAATAAATGCTTGTTAATTTGTTGATTAATTTCGTAATGCAAAACTAACAAAATATGTGATTCTTAGGGCAAAAATCTTGTTTAAATTTTATAAAGTTAAAATTTAATTTTATACTAATTGTTCTTTTCCTAGATTCGATATTGTCTCCTCAATTACAAATGTATTTCTGTAAAAATTAGATAATGTAACTAAAGTGTTAAATCATCAATTAAAACTCCCATAAATTTAAAAAATGTTACAAAATAGATTTTAATTAATCAATTGCCTTTTTTTTTTGTTTGGAAAAATGATACTATGAGTGGCAATAAGAACAAATAAATAAAAATTTATTACATCTATAATAATATTGTGTGGAGTTTTTATTTATGAATTATTCTTGTAACAGTAATTTTTTCTTAAAAATTTTATTACTTCATAGATTTTCCTACAGTGAACGACATATTATAACCTAGAAAATAAGAAAATATGGTATCATTAATTTCATATTTCTGTTTTGGATATTATTTTTTACTTGCATTACATTTTTCCATTGTTTTAGTGTAACTCAAGTAGACAACTAATACAGTAGAACCTCGAAAACTCGGCTCTCGATAACCCGGCACTCCGGATAACTCGGCCACACCCTGGCAGGGCAAAAAAATCCTTAGTTAATTAATTTTCATTATAGACAGCTTTATAAAAGTATAAAAGCTCTCATAAAGTATTTTTCTGAGGTCTGTCTTATCAGGTAAATTACTGTACACAGTGTATTCATTAATTTTCATTTTCATGTAGTAAAGGCTCTATGCCTTCATAAAGGACGTACTTTTCCTTTGTTTAAGGGTATTTGGGCAGTTTATTCTCTGTTATATACTCAAGTAAACAATACATACAAGTACACTACAGTATTTTCTGAGAAAACACTCGTACTTATATTTTTTAACCCCATTCCCGATAACCCGGCATTTTCACAAACTCGGCCACCCTTCGGTCCACATTAGGCCGAGTTTTCGAGGTTCTACTGTATTTAAATTTCCATTTATAAAATTAGAAGAACCAGACAAGTCAAATGAAGCAAAACTTTGCCATGGTACCAAAAATAAGATATATATATTTATATCAATTTCATAATATTTTATTGCTGTTGTTAATCTTCATTAATAACATATAATTTTTGAAATAATGAGAACAACTTACCTCTGTGATAATTAAAATATATATATGGAATCATTAATCATTATGTGCAATTGTGAAAAGAGAAATAATGCTTATAGTAATTTACATGGTTGCATCTCTTCTATTTCATTCTTTTTCCTCATGGCATCTTTCAAGTTCCACAAATGTTCCTAGAACATTCTAGAACAATGTGTTTATAAAATAAAATGAAATAAACTTCCAGATTAACCAAACCTATTTATTTTGATTTGAAAACTGAAAGAAAGAAAAACTACAAATAGGTAAGTTTTGTTTAGCCTCACTACTGTTAAGCTTCTTCATTGATAATTATCAAAAGGCATTCATTCCTAATACATATTGCAGAAAATTCCATATCACCACAGGTCTCATTTAAAATCATCTTCAAGCGAGGAGAATTCGAAGACACCCTTTAATCTTATCAAATACAAATTTTTTTAAAATCTGTTACAGCATTTAAATCTTGTTCATGTGAAATTGTCTAATGTTAGTTCCATGTAGTTTAACTTTGTACAAATGTGGAGGGCAAAACTGTACTATTTTGCCAGGACCAGTCTATCATGCATAAATTTTTTTACCCAAGTCAGGAATCAGTAGAATGACTTGGTCCCCAACTTCAAACCTTCTTATTGATGACCTTTGATTAAAGTATTCAGCATATGCTCTTTGGTTTTCATTTGCCATTAATGCAGCCTGATGCACTGCTGTTTCCAGTCTACCCTTGAGATCTTGTAAGCAGTCGACAGCTGAACAAGTCATGTTCAAAGAAAGGGGATCTCGCCGGCCCAAGTGGATTCGAGGATTGCAAGAAGTGTACATGCCTCTCTTCCATATAGTAGTCTGAATGGGGAAACCCCAGTCGTGCAATTTGGCACTTCTCTGTAAGTGAAGAACAAGAAGGGGATTTGTCTGTCCCAGTTTTGGGGGTCCTCTCAGATAACACGATGAAGCATTGTTTTAACACTTTATTCCATATTGTTGTTGTCGAAACCATGTTGTATTTATGTATTATATACTGGCACAATGAAGTGACTTTTCTTCAACACTGGGCAAGTTTCAATCTTTATTCAGTTAGAACGCTTTGCTATACATCTACGTTTCGGGCATTTGCCCCTCCTCAGCTAACTAAATATATATAAAACATTATATGGATACAACCGAACACAAATAAAAAACTAAAAAACGTACAAAAAATTTTTTGTGAAACATACCTCAATTCGATACAAACACCAAATATACAGTTAGGGAGAGTAATATGTGCTTTTAGATAATCTATATCGACTTTGAGCTTTTTTATCTCACCTTGTATTCTTGTGACTTGTATCTCACCTTGTATTCTTGTATTCTAGATTATCTAAAAGCACATATTACTCTCCCTAACTGTATATTTGGTGTTTGTATCGAATTGAGGTATGTTTCACAAAAAATTTTTTGTACGTTTTTTAGTTTTTTATTTGTGTTCGGTTGTATCCATATAATGTTTTATATATATTTAGTTAGCTGAGGAGGGGCAAATGCCCGAAACGTAGATGTATAGCAAAGCGTTCTAACTGAATAAAGATTGAAACTTGCCCAGTGTTGAAGAAAAGTCACTTCATTGTGCCAGTATATAATACTTTATTCCATAGTTTGACCAGAACATTACTTGCAGCATATCTCGGACAACTAAATCTGGGGTGACGCCCAGGTGCTTCAAAAATTCTCGTATCAAGTCGGAAGTGAAATTGATGCCTTGATCACATGCAATGATGTTTGGATCCCAGTTGTAGTGAACATCTGTAGAAGGCTTCACAAGCTGATCTAGCTCTAAGTGAATGCATAGGTATTTCCTCTGGCCAACAAGTGTGTTGATCCATAAGGCAAAGTACATATTTATGTCCCCTCCTGGAAAGCGGTTCTAAAGGCCTGATAATGTCAATGTTAACAACTTCAAATGATAGTTCTGGTCTTAGTACTGGAGTTATCAGTGCTCTGTCGCTCACTTTGCAATTGGCTCAATTAGCAGCTCTTGCATGTCTTGCAATATAGATAACCAATAAAAGCTCCATTCTTTTGTCTTCCTTATTCTCATGTGTGCTCTGAAAACTGATTTGTGCACCAACTCCAAAACTTTTTTCTGTCTACTCTCAGGTAGAACTAACTGAAGGACTGTTTCTCCTAACACTTTATCTTTGTGGCATATTAATCCGTCTAATAAAACAAAATTTCCTTTATTTTGTGCTAGTTTCTTTCAGACAGTCTCCAGAGTTTTCTGCTTGCTCTTCTCTCAGTTTCTGTGTGTTTGAGTTTGCACTGCATTCTCATGCTTTCATCCCCTACCTCTATGGTAGCACTCCAATGGACTCCTGTCTCCTATCCCTTTTCCAGGGAGTACATTTTCTATATCTCCCTCATCACTTTCAATGACATACTCTCCTTTGATCTTGCGATTCTCTTCTCCTGGTGCCCCTTTCCCTTTCAATGTCCAGGTTTTGGCTATATCTGTGTCTCCATAGCTGATAATTTCCGTCTCCATGGAAACCAAGCTTTTATTCTCTTCTTCCAACATTTTATAAATACCCAGCAGTATGATATGAGGGCCCTTCAGTTTCTTCATCAATGCCACCATAATTTCTATAGGGTCAATAAATTTTGATTGCAGTGGTCTTTAACAACCACAAGGACTTTTACTATCTGTGCCTTAGTCTCTTC